CTCAGGAACCTTTACTCAACACCTTGTGTAGCTCAGGAACCTTTACTCAACACCTCGTGTAGCTCAGGAACCTTTACTCAACACCTGGTGTAGCTCAGGAACCTTTACTCAACACCTGGTGATGCTCAGGAACCTTTACTCAACACCTTGTGTAGCTCAGGAACCTTTACTCAACACCTCGTGTAGCTCAGGAACCTTTACTCAACACCTGGTGATGCTCAGGAACCTTTACTCAACACCTGGTGATGCTCAGGAACCTTTACTCAACACCTCGTGTTGCTCAGGAACCTTTACTCAACACTTGGTGTTGCTCAGGAACCTTTACTCAACACCTGGTGATGCTCAGGAACCTTTACTCAACACCTGGTGATGCTCAGGAACCTTTACTCAACACCTCGTGTAGCTCAGGAACCTTTACTCAACACCTGGTGTAGCTCAGGAACCTTTACTCAACACCTGGTGTTGCTCAGGAACCTTTACTCAAGACCTGGTGTTGCTCAGGAACCTTCACTCAACACCTCGTGTAGCTCAGGAACCTTTACTCAACACCTGGTGTTGCTCAGGAACCTTTACTCAACACCTGGTGTTGCTCAGGAACCTTTACTCAACACCTGGTGTTGCTCAGGAACCTTTACTCAACACCTGCTGTAGCTCAGGAACCTTCACTCAACACCTCGTGTAGCTCAGGAACCTTCACTCAACACCTCGTGTTGCTCAGGATCCATTTAGTCAACGTTTGGCCAGGGTTACCAACTTTCTCAAGAGGAATTGAAACCTAAAGTAACAGTTCCTTATTTACCCATAACCCGGGTCACCCAGGATGGAAGGTAACCCATAACCCATAACCCGGGTCACCCAGAGTAACAAGCTAGTTCGGTAGTTTATCACACATAATTAAACCCTTGTATGTTACTAATTGGTTGTCGGAAAAGGACATGATTGCGGAAGCTTAAATTTGCATAGGGGCGACTATTTTATTCAACAGTGTATATGCACTCTTTGTGATTTCAATGTATTAAGGGCGTATCAACACGTGGAAGGTTACTGTGGGAGTCACTATACCTTACCAACGTGTGGAAGGTTACTGTGGGAGCCACTATACCTTACTAACGTGTGGAAGGTTACTGTGGGAGTCACTATACCTTACTAACGTGTGGAAGGTTACTGTGGGAGTCACTATACCTTACTAACGTGTGGAAGGTTACTGTGGGAGTCACTATACCTTACTAACGTGTGGAAGGTTACTGTGGGAGTCACTATACCTTACTAACGTGTGGAAGGTTACTGTGGGAGTCACTATACCTTACCAACGTGTAGAAGGTTACTGTGGGAGTCACTATACCTTACCAACGTGTAGAAGGTTACTGTGGGAGTCACTATACCTTACCAACGTGTAGAAGGTTACTGTGGGAGTCACTATACCTTACTAACGTGTGGAAGGTTACTGTGGGAGCCACTATACCTTACTAACGTGTGGAAGGTTACTGTGGGAGTCACTATACCTTACCAACGTGTAGAAGGTTACTGTGGGAGTCACTATACCTTACCAACGTGTGGAAGGTTACTGTGGGAGTCACTATACCTTACCTACGTGTGAAAGGTTACTGTGGGAGTCACTATACCTTACCAACGTGTAGAAGGTTACTGTGGGAGTCACTATACCTTACCAACGTGTGGAAGGTTACTGTGGGAGTCACTATACCTTACCTACGTGTGAAAGGTTACTGTGGGAGTCACTATACCTTACTAACGAGGTAAACTTAGAGATACCGACTAAAAGTTAATAATACCGGTAGCCTAGTCTGCTACCGACTAGGCTACCCACTAAACCCACGTAACCGATCCTGATGAACCTTTAGCTCCAGCGAAGCCAAAGAGGACTGTAGCCCACTAGACCTAAACAGCCATGACAACTGGCTTCTCGCCCACGAATACTGTTCCCTAGAGACGCATATGTAGCCTCTTTAGGGAAACTCAAATATTCACAATATATTTGACAGTACGATTTAATACTAAGTGAAAATAAGTACAATTCCTAACTGCTATGAATAGTACATAATTGCACTTATTTGTCTTCTTACATTTACCACCCCATTTTTGGAGGACGGGCTGGTAGCCTCATAGGTCTGGCCACACCCCGCAGCCCCAGTAGGCTCCAAAACCTGTGTAAGAATAAGCTAACGACATCGATGTCACATCACCCACCTTGTGGAAACGGTATATAAAACACATTTTATCTCTCAGTTTGGTTAGGTTAGGATAGGCTAAGATGGGCTTGGGTCGGGTCGGGTTAGGAGGACTTAAAGAACGGCGATGACGTAGAGCGTTGAAGCTTTCCTCAGGTTCTAGACCCCACCCGGTATACTCACTATCTGCGGCAGCTCCAGGCGAATCTCTCTGCTCCGGCGGAGGCGGACGTCGGTGTTGGCGCCCACGTTGTAGAAGCTGCCGCAGTATGGACAGATCTGCCGCAGGCGGCCGGTCGTCTCCTCCATCGTCA